CTTTAGAGAATTATCAAATTTTGCTCTAAAGATAAAAATCAATGATCATCAATTGCAATGATCATATTATGCAAGGACAATTAAAAATTTTTGTAAATATTTTGATTTCTTTAAAAAGACAGATATTTAAATTATTTATTTATCAATATATTTAATGGCAATATTTGTAATGATGTATACTTTATTAAATATATATTTTATTTAGTTTATTTAATAAATAAGATACTAACAGATAATAATAATCGAGCGACAAAAATATGGGTGTACATGTAATAATTGATAATTATTGATATTAATCGATCGACAAAATAGTAAATTTAGATCAAGATAATCTTTATTATGATTTATGTAATGATGATCTTTTAAGCCAGCAAACTCAAATAAATATTAATGCTAATATCTAAGAGTACCTACTTTTTACTTAAATTCTTTTCTTTCATACAAACCTTCCCATCCTTTACTTTTACTTAATCATTGTTTTCAAACAGAAATTTTATATATGTTCCCATGTGTTTCTTGTTCATATTGTTCGATTCTTATGTTTCCTGTTCAAGCAGATAGGTTTTGCATGATATCAATATGAAATATAATATTTGTTGAGCTTTCTCGCATTTATTACTTACTGAGCATCCTAATAAAGACAATTATATTGCTATATATTTATATTGTATATCTATCGCTAAGCATTATGCCGTTTGACACTTATTCAAATTCTAGATGCTCTATAAAATTTTCAATGTTTCATCACAGGTGGCTTTCACCTATTTGCTTAAATTGCTCTTTTGGACATGCTAAAAATGCTAATTATTTTACACACTATCATTACCTTACTGGTGCTTTTGGTCTTTCAAAAAATATTTGTGCTTTACAAATTTACTCTGGAGTGTTAGATGCAATATTAAATTTGACACCTAATGGAAATTAGTTTCATCCATCTTTGCTACATGCAGCTGCTTGTTTAAAAACCAATAATAGATTCTTTAAAGAATTTGATCGAATGTTTTTCTCCATTATTTTTACACATCCTCTGAATGTTTTCCCCACTACTCAGGTGATTGAAGATAAAAATATATTATCTAATAACACATCATTATAACGTCCTCTAGATATAATTATATCACAATATGATTTTGATCCTAAAATTTGCAATGAAGATTTTCATTATAGTAGACTATTAGCAAGTTTTTTTAAAAGATCTTAATAATATAGATTTACTAATTCCGTATAATGATCCTAATTTAGAAGTTATACTTTTTCCTGATCTCTTTTCGGATAGACATAGCTATTGAGGAGAGCTTTCTAGAGAATTAAATAAGGAAATTGCTATTTCCACCATGGTAAATTGCTATTTCCACTATAGGTTATACAAAAAATATAAAAAATTCTATTTTTAAATAACTAATCAAATTTAAGAAATTAATTTTTTTAAAATT